TATAGCAGCTGTGAATGGCAGGAAACAGATTCTCCCCAGAGCTTCAAGAACAAATGCAGCCCAGTGAGACTGTTTCAGAATTCTGACTTCTGTAACAGTAAGATAATAAATCTGTGTTTTATAAGCCACTACCCTAATGGTAATGCATTATAGCATTAATTAAAGAGCTAGTGTGTCACCTATTTTCTGGTATTCCTTATTGTCCTAATGCTTCTTCCCACTCTGTTTGTTATACGTCTTGCTCAGCATAGTTGACACATATTCTGCTATGGGTTAAATATCCAAATCAGGTACCAAATCCTATTGAAAGTTGCCTTGTCCCTTTCACTTACCCGACAGATTAATGCTTCTACCAACTACTACTCTACCATCATTTCTACCTCTGCCAATTCCACCAACATCAATATATAATAAGCATTTTCTATGTGCAGGCATTGTGCCAAACAAGTTGTAATCTTTATCTTTTTGTTACCCACTCAAGAAATCTACTATATAACTAATGTTATGACCCCTATTTTTGTTACTGAGGAAACTGAAAATTAACAGCAAATAGTTTGGCCATGGCCATAGAGGAATTGCAAAACACAGCATGCACTTAAATGCAGATATACCTGGCTTCAAATCCCTTGTTACACACACCATGCTCTGCTGTCTCCTAATATAAATACAGATCCGTCTGAAATACTTCAACCATCACTAAGTCTACATTACCAAGATAATATTATTCAGAAGGGAAAAAGGGCCATAGGACTAGGCTTACCGCTTATCTGCAATCCTTTCTATATGTGACAAGAATATTGAGAATGTATTTGTAAGTCATCATGACCAACTCCACTTTTTAAAAAATACAATCAATCTCAGAATCATATTATTGAGTTCTTAGTAGCTATATTTCCAAATTATGAGGTTGTTCTCATTTTCTACATAGAGCAGTGTTAGTGCTGGCCACATGAATCAAAAACAATCAGAGCTTTTTCATCTCTTATGGCATTTGGAATTTAGAATGGCAGATCATGGTCTCACTCTGAGAGATTTTACACAAATGAATTGAAAACTGACCATATGCATGAAAAAGGAGAGGAAATTTGATCTGTAAAGTACATACACACATATACACTATGGGGAAAGAGTGATAAAGGTATGTGTGTGTGTTGGGAACAAGTCCCCCAAAATCTGGCCATAAACTGACCCCAAAACTGGCCATAAACAAAATCTCTGCAGCACTGTGACATGTTCATGATGGCCATAATGCCCACGCTGGAAGGTTGTGGGTTTACTGGAATGAGGGTAAACCCACATTACTGGCCCACCCAGGGCAGAAAACCACTTAAAGGCATTCTTAAACCACAAATAATAGCATGAGCGATCTGTGCCTTAAGGACATGCTCCTGCTGCAGTTTACTAGCCCCACCTATTCCTTTAATTTGGCCCATCCCTTCGTTTCCCATAAGGGATACTTTTGGTTAATTTAATATCTATAGAAACAATGTTAATGACTGGCTTGCTGTTAATAAATACGTGGGTAAATCTCTGTTCAAGGCTCTCAGCTCTGAAGGCTGTGAGATCCCTGATATCCCACTTCACACCTCTATATTTCTGTGTGTGTGTCTTTAATTCCTCCAGTGCTGCTGGGTTAGGGTCTCCCCGACTGAGCTGGTCTCGGCATGTGTGTAGTAAGAGAGAGAGAATTGGCTTTTAATAACTTTCGTATATTTATTAAATTTCCTCTCCTAATTCCCTTCTTCTTTTGGTTCTATTTCTTGAGTGTGTAAAAAAAATTAAAAATTAATGTACTGTACAAGTTGTCTGGCACAATGCCTGCACATAAAAAGTGCTTACCATATATTGATGTTGGCAGTATTGGCATGGGCATAACTTGTATGTTTATAATGAATTTACTACTAACACAAAATATTCTTTATTTACTGAGTCAGCAGTAAGTTTTATTCTTGGTATTTGGCCTCTAAGGCCTCTCTTTTTTCTATGAAGTTTGCCTTTGTAAATATCCTAAAATATGACAAACATGTTTTAACTTTTTCAAAGTGTTTAAAACAAATAGTTGGCTATATTCCTTAATTTGCATCTGACTGAAGTGTATCATTGTAAGATTGACCTTGGTCCACAATTGAGATTCAGAAATCGACAGATTTGTCCAATAGAATCCTACTGAAACCTTTCAGTCTCATCTAGGGGGAAAAAGTCTATGTCTTATTATTTAGCAAAAAGAAGGAGAAAAAACGATTTAAAAAAAAACTACCCATGCTTTAACAAACTGACGTATGCAAATATAAGTGTTCCATGAATTACGTAAAACTTCGTATTTTCTTTTGAGAATACTTGGAATGATTCTTCAGAAATTAAAATTTTACATAAAAGCCTCCAGACATACAATACTAGTACCTACATAAAACTAATAATGCTACCCAATGCTCAATTCTTCAAGCCAAAATGACAGAGCACATGTTTCTTTAAATTACATGTCATTAATTTCAGAAATTATTCATTTAAGAAAATGTAGTTCAAAAATCAACAGCTCAACCTGATATATACATTTTTAATTTCCTATATATGAAACTTACATTCTTCCTTGTATAGAATCCCTCCTTTTTAAGTACAGTTCAGTAATTAGTTCAATTTGTCCCTTTGTGTGTGTGTGTGTTTTTTTTTTTTTTTTTTTTTCTTTGAGACAAAGTCTCACTCTGTTGCCCAGGCTGGTGTGCAATGGTGCGATCTTGGCTCACTGCAACCTCCACCTCCTGGGTTTAAGCAATTCTCCTGCCTCAGCCTCCTGAGTAGCTGGGATTGCAGGCACGTATCACCACGTCCAGCTAATTTTTGTATCTTTAATAGAGACACGGTTTCACCACGTTGGCCAGGCTGGTCTCGAACTCCTGAGCTCAGATGATCCACCCACTTTGGCCTCCCAAAGTGCTGGGATTGTGTGTATTCTACAAAGTTCAATCTACAGTAATTGATTTGTTTTGTATACTTGAACTTTGCAAAGTCTTCCGTCAGAAGACATTAATTACCCCTTTCCTATCTTTCACATGTGACTTGAAAAGAAATAAACAGAAGTTTAGATGAGAAATGTTGATATTATTTTAGGAATTAGTTGAGTCTGAGTCTTTTCTTTCCATTTTCAATTTTCTTTTAATTGTCTTCCTAAAACTTTTCTTCACTCTCATTTAAATTTTTTAGTCAATTATCTTTGATATTATCAAAAACTTAAAAAGTAAAATGGATTTACTAAGAGCAGGAATAACCAACTGGTTGCTACAATATTGTTGGTTTTATATTTTATGTTCTTTTATAGTTATCACCAAACCTAAAAGGATACTTCTCAGTATTATTTAATCAATAAAATTCAATTTTTAACACCCTAAGACAATTCGCTAATATTACTTCTTAATATGGTTGTCCTTTGTGGAAATAATAGCAGGCTCTATAAAACATAGCAAAAGATGGAAGAAAGTAAACAAAAAGGCATAGCAACCATAACAATAAAGAAAAAAAAAAGAGAGACACCTTTGTTTTGAGATGCTTCTCTCAGTGTAGTTGGTAATTCTTTTGTGGAAACACTGGGCAGGACATCACTGTGATCAAATAAATTTCCCAGGATAGGTTTAAAATATGGACAGTTCCAATCTTCTTGATGACCTATAGACAGGTCTACTCTATGAATAATGTTTATAAACTAATATACAGACATATGTGTGTGTGTGTGTGTGTGTGTATGTGCATGTGCATTTGTGTGTGTGGTATGTGTGTGTTTTGCATCCATTAATGACTAAGTAGTAATACTAAAATAGAATCAGATGTCACTTCAAAGGTAACACTCTTAATTCCATTAATCCTAACTAGTTTTATTTAAACTACTACGCAGAGGAAGAGACTGGATGTTTGTGATCCCTCAAACATTATCTGTTGAAGTTGTAACATGTTGTGTGATGGTATCTGAAGACAGGGCTCTTGGGAAGTTATAAGAGTTAGATCAGGTCATAAGGGTGGAGGTGTCATAATGGGATTGATGTGCCTATAAGAAGAGATACCAGAGAGATTCCTCTTTCTCTCTACTTTGTGAGGACACAGCAAGAAGAGAGCCCCCACCAGAAATCAACCATGCTGGCATCCTGCTCTTGAACTTCCAGACTCCAGAACTGAGAGGAAACACATTTCTATTGTTAAGTCACCCCAGTCTGTGATGTTTTGTTATGGCCAGCTTGAGCACACTACGACAGGCAGGAACTCAGAAAAAAGAGATATATCCACTTGCTATGTCACTAAATAGCATCTTTAAATTAAATAAATTTGAAAATTGCTACTCTGGTATTGGAATGTAAGGTTTATAGCTGAAAGGAACTTGATATAACTTAATTTATCTGTGTAAATATTTATTCATGCTTTTAATACTTTAAACATTTATGTAGAAATGCTCAAATAAAATGTCCATTTTTTAAAATTTTGAATGTTTATTTTTGTGAGTACATAGTAGGTATATTTATTTATGGAGTACATGAGATAGTTTGATACAGCCATACCACGCACAGTGATCACATCAAGGTAAATGGGGTATCCATCACTTCAAGCATTTATCCTTACTTTGTGTCACAAACAATTCAATTAGACTCTTTTAGTTATTTTTAAACGTATAACAAATTATTGTTGATTGTAGTTACCCTGTAGCGCTATCAAATACTAGATTGTATTTATTCTATCTAACTATATTTTTGTACCCGTTTAACCATTCCCAGTCCCCACCCCCCTGTCAATGCCCAATTACCTTTCCTGGGAAGGTTCATTCTAGTCTCTATCTTTAGATAGAGAATCTACAGAAATTTATAGTTTCCTTTGTTTCAGTTTTTAGCAATCATAAATAAATGAAAACATATGAAGTTTGTTTTTCTGTGCCTACTTTATTTCATTTAACATAGTGACCTCCAGTTCCACCCCCATTGTTGCAAATGACAGGATCCCACTCTTTTTTATAGCTGAATGATATTCCATTGTATCAGTATCACATTTTCTTTATCGATTTGTCTGCTGATGGACACTTACGCTGCTTCTAAATCTTGACTACTGTGGATAGTGCTGCAATAAACAAATCACATTATCTTATTTGGATATAGTATATAATATATTATTTCCTATATTTAATCAGTATATGATAGAAAAGTAATAAAATAATTTTGAACAATTTAAACTGTCTCTACATGGTGTTTTTTTTCCCCCTCCTCCTATTTTATAAACCTTTTCAAGATAGAGGATATGTATTAGAAAGTTGTACCCCACAAAATATTTAAATGGTATCTTTCCTGCAGCAGATAATAAATACATTTTTTGAAAGTTTTGAATTGAAATGTTGGAATATTTTATACTTTCCAATATATGACTTCATATAAATACTAGAGAACCTATAGTTATAAGCAACTCTGAAGTACTGCATATCTAGGCATTCCTCTCTCTCTCTCACTATTTATACATATAACATATATATATTATATATACATATATATACCTATATACACACGCACAAAGACACACATGCATTTTCCACAGTATGTGTGTGAGTTTATGTGACTTTGTGTGTTACAAAACCTGAGACAAAAACAGATACTTTAGTTACTAATGTGTTTGATTTCAAGTTACAAAAAATAGGGCTATAGGGCTAAAAGTGCTTAATCATGTAGATGATTATTTTTCTCAAACAACAAGAAGAGTTCCACTTTCTCTAAAAAAATCTCTACCATTTGGAGACCTGAGAAGACCTGAGGGAGAAATCTAACAAAACGATGATTTCTTCAATGACAAAGAAAAGCTCAATTAATTAGAAACTAATAGAGTTCCTTAAGTCCATCAGAATGCTGAGGTCACAGGTCAAACAAGTAGCCCGAAATCCAAGGACAGCTCATCTCAGGTAGTTAAGATGTGGCACTAAAGGAACTCAAGGCCAGTGGTATAGTAACCTTAGTAAACCTAAAGGCAGCTTTCATAACAATAAACCCAAACCCAGTCAATTGCTTCCTAGATTGGTGTAATGTCGCACGTATTAGCGTTGTAGAAAAAAGGCAGTTTTGTTTTTAATCATAAATATTGTCTACTTCAATTTCTAGTGTTCTTTATATGAGAGTTGGTATTCAATGTAAAACAGAAGACAGACAAAAAAGCAAGAGAATAGAGCCTAATGCCAAGAGGCAAAATAACTAACAGAACCAGATTGCAAGATTACACAATTTTTGGAAACATTAAACATGAAGTTTAAATAACTATGGTTAATGTGTTACATAATCTAGTAAAAAAAACCAACATGCATGACCAGATAGAAAAAATCAGCAGAGAAATGAGAAATATATCAAGAATAAAACGCAAATGATATAAATAAAAAACACTAACAGAAATGAAAAACTTTAGAGTTGTACTAGTTCCTAGGGCTTCCATAACAAAGTACCACAAACTGTGTAGCTTAAAATAACAGAACCATTATTGTTTCAGAATTCTGTGCTAGGCTGGGTGCAGTGGCTCACGCCTGTAATCCCAGAACTTTGTGGGACTGTGGCAGGTGGATTACTTGAAGTCAGGAGTTTGAGACCAGCCTGGCCAACATGGTAAAACCCCATCTCTACTAAAAATGCAAAAATGAACTGGATGTGGTGGTGCATGCATGTAATTTCAGCTACTCAAGAGGCTGAGACAGGAGAATCACTTGAACCCAGGAGGCAGAGGTTGCAGTGAGCCGAGATCGTGTTACTACGCTCCAGCCTGGGTGACAGAGCGAGACTCCATCTCAAAAAAAAAAAAAAAAAAAATTCTGCAGACTAGCAGTATGAAATCAAGATGTCATCAGGGTTACTTTCCCTGTGAAGGCGTTAGGGAAGGATCTGCCTCATGCATCCTAACTTCTGGTAGCTTCAGGCATTCCTTGGCTCATAGATGTATCACTCCAATTGTCTATCTTCACATGGCCTTCTCTGTATGCCTTCACATCATCCTCTCTCTGTGCATGTCTGCCTCTGCATTCAAATTTCCATTTTATATGAGGAAACAAGTCATATTGGACTAGGGTCCACCCCAATAACCTTGTTTTAAGTCAGTTACCTTTGTAAAGATATGTTTTCAAATAAGGCAACGTTTCGAAGTACTAGGTTTAAGAACTTCGACATATCTTTTTTTGGTAGCACACGAAGAAACCCATAGCAGGTGACCTTGGCAGACTTGTTGGAGATAAAGACAGAATCAAAGCCTTGAAGCCACACAGACATAAGTTACCCAAACTGAAACAAGAGAAAAAAGAATAAGTTTTTTAAAAAAGAAACAAGCATTTTAGAAAATTTTAGGAAAAATATTAATGTTCCACAATGAGAATTTGTGGAAAATTTAACACTCTTCTGCAATTGATATAGCAAATAGACAGAAAATGAGTAAATTTATGGAAAACTTGGAGAACATTCTCAACTAATCTGACAAAATTGACATTGACATTTACATTTTGTGGGATTCCGTCAAAACAGTAAAGAAAAATTAGAAAACAGAATATAGAAATATAGAAAATAAATATAGAAAATAGATGTCTCAAGTCAATGATCTGAATATCTACCTTTAAAAAAAAAAAGCAGAAAAAAGAGCAAATTAAACTAAAAGCAGGCAACACAGCATTAGGAGAAAATATAGAAATGAAAGCAGAAATCAATGAGATCAAAAAGAGAAAAACAGTAGAGAAGGTCAATAATATCAAAACTGCTTTGAAATATCAGTAAAATTGATGACCATCCAGCTATAATAAACATGAACAACAGACACACATTACCAAGATCGGACATAAAAGAGGGGCATCATTTTGAACCTACAAACACTAAAATAATAATAAGAAAATGTCACAGAATCTTTATGCTTATAAACCTCATAACTTGGATAAAATGGGCGTAACACTTTAAAAACAACCCCACATGCTACCTTAAGAAGAAACAGATAACACATGTGGTTCCCTATCAATCAAAGGACAAGGTAAATCAACACTAGGCTGTTGCTAGCATTTGCTCAGCCACTCAGTCATGCCATTGAGGGTACAAGATTCTTCTATATTTCTCATCTACCATCCTAAGAATGTTAAATTATAACTTCTATGCATATGAATTACAGTAGCAAAATGATTGTCCCAGTTCTAGTCATGATACTTCCAATCACAGTAGGAAAAATGTCAGAAGGGGAGTTGACTGATTAATCTGTCCCTTCCATTGGAAACTCAAAAGTTTTTTCTGTAGTCCCACAACCCGACATATTTTCCCCATTGGCTAGAGCAGTGTTACAACAGTTACCATTAGCTGCAAGAAGAAAATTGGAAGAGGATTCTAACGTTTGGTTTAGTTCAATAACTATCTCTTGTTTGTGACTGGGATTTTCTTTGCTTCAAACAAGAGCATTGTATCTTATTATCTGGGAAGAGGGAAAGGATAGACATTTATAAGAAATCACAAGGTTGCCACATGGTTCTGCTGCAATCTGACTGTGCTACCAAATTTAGATAAATAATGCCTGCACTAGCTACACCTCATCAATTAAAAAAAATACTTTTTGTACAGATGAAAATGGATATAAAACAATGCTGCCATACTCCACTACAACTTTATTTAATAAAAATTCTTTGTAACTTGATGTGAGATTTTCAGTTTGATTTAATTAATTTTTATTTTTAAAATAAGGTTTTCTCTTGCCTGTGGGTAGAATCCATCTGTCAGATCACAGATGAGCAAGCCAGATTGAAAAGGAACAGACTTTCTTAGGTGGGCAATATGTATGAAATGTGGTAATTTTGCAGATTGGGATGCTTAGAAATCTGTGAATCCCTATAAGCAAGTTATGAACCCAAGCCAAATTGTTAGGAAGAAAAAAACCAAAATTGTTGCTCTGAAAATTCCTTTTTTATGCGCAGGGACCTCTGAGATAGCTCTGAACAAAACTGCAAGATTCAGAATGTGTTCTTCCTAAGACTTTCAGATAATTCATGAGGATTTTTTCCCAGCTGCTACCCATAATGATGATATATAATTGATCTCTTGTCAATATGAATACCGATCAATAGGAATCAAATATAAATTAATCTAAAATAATAGCAGAATAATTTTAAATTCAGTAGGACTAGAAACTTTGCTTCAAAATTTGGCAATACCTGAACATGTGCTTCAAGCTATAGATCTTCAAAATATAAACATGAGCATTATGTTCTTATGAATGCATTTTTAGCTTTTTTAGCCTTTAGTTTGAGGACTATTAAGCAAAATCTCCCTAGTAACAGTTCTGTTCTTCAAAGTTTTGTAAATGATCTGGAAATAACCAAATGAATTCTTAGCATGCAAGTTACATGTTAAACTTTTGTATATATTTATGCATATGCTCTTTCACTTTATGTCCATACGTAATCTCAAAAACATTCATTTTTCCATATAATGTATTTCTTCTATACCTTTTTAATAATTTCTGTCATTTGTGGACCACTTTCAGTTTCTGTGTACTACCTCTGTGGAATATCTATATCTATATACATACATGTACATACACATGCACACATACATGTAGATTTGTGCATTTTATTACCATAAATCTACATGTATGAATATGTAGTTTTATGAAATAACATCACAGAACTGAAAACTATCAAAACTGTGTTCACTCTTTAAGAGTGAATTATTAAATGTTTATTTATAAAATACAAGAAAGAGTAAAGAATGGCATAATAATTATGAACCAACAATATAGCTTAAAAAATAAAATTTGCTGAGTAGGGTATACGTACCACCCTCCACATCCCTGGGTGTATTTACTTTACCCTTCCTTTGCCAGAGGTAAGTAACTACTGTATTTAGTTTTGATTATTCCTATGCAGTTTTCGGGTAGTTTTACTACATATATATTCATCATTAACCCCATAAATGCTGTTTTTTTATGAGTTTAAATTGTAGGTATCTGTCTGAAGCTTGTATTGTTTTACTCAATGTTATGTTTATAAGACTCTTGTAAGGTAATATAAGGAATGAATGTATATACTTTTGAGGGAAGGGCAGTCTATGCTCAGTTAATGTTTTGGCAGACATTTATGTCTTATCCAAAGGTTTACTCTTACAAGAGACTCTACTATAAATATTTTAACATACTCTGTGTACGTGTGCAATAGAAACTGCAGTTTATAAACACAACAGTGGAATTGCTAGTTTTTTTTCTGATTTTTTAATGAAATATTTCTAGCTTTTTACCTTTATGATTCTAGCTGTATTTTCTCTGGTGCACAACATTTAGCAGGCTAATAACATTTCTTCCTAGTGCTAGAGTGACAAGAAATTTTATCATGGGAGAATATTGAATATTATCAAATATATTTCTCAAAGCCTTAACCTTAAATCTAATTATGTATAATATATTAAGAAATTTCAAATGGCATCTTTGCTTTTCTATGCTGAAGTAAACTTATTTGTGTATTTTTTTATATACAACACTAAGTTTGACGTGATAAAATTTACTTAAAGTATTTGCATTATTGGCCGGGCACGGTGGCTCACACCTGTAATCCCAGCACTTTGGGAGGCCCAGGTGAGTGGATCATGAGGTCAGGAGATCGAGACCATCCTGGCTAACATGGTGAAAACCCGTCTCCACTAAAAATCCAAAAAAAATTAGCCAGGTGTGGTGGCTGGCGCCTGTAGTCCCAGCTACTTGGGACGCTGAGGCAGGAGAGTGGCGTGAACCTGGGAGGTGAAGCTTGCAGTGAGCCAAGATTGTGCCACTGCACTCTGGGCTGGGCAATAGAGTGAGACTCCATCTCAAAAAAAAGAAAAAAAATTGAATTATTTTCTGTGTTCCTTTTTCACCCCCCTTCTATTTTTCTTGTTATGATTATAACTCAAATAAATTGAAGTAATATTTTCTCACTGGCAGAATACATGTTAGTTTGAAAATATCTAAGTATTTGTTTTAGATAATGTGCTAACCCATCTAGGCCCAGATAGTTTTGTTTACATGTGGAATTTGAGGAGGGGAGGTAAACATTTAATGTTGATTAGTTTTATTTAATTATTTTAGATGAGTTTAGATTTTCTGTTACTAAGTTTTGATAAATTATACTTCTTAGGAAGTTGAAGATTTCATTATACTTTCCAAATTACTGGCAAAAGATTATAAACCATAAAATAAAATTGATATTTTAAGGGTTCAAGGCTTAATTTGCAGATTTATCAGTCACAGACTTTTAAAGTGCAGACTTGTGGCTTTTTTGGCAATCCAACTCTTTCATCAACCTAATCAGATAATTATCAGCTGGCTTATTATAAATTCCAAGTTTAAGGAGCAACAGTTATTCTATACTTAACATAATTTTTAAGTCTAAACATACATGGCCTCTGTCTACTAGCCAAGTCCCTCTCTTTCAGTGTAATAGATGTCCCTTGAGGAACATCTGTAACAATGGATTTGAGCGGAAAAGCAGTTTCCTTAATATATCTTTACCGGAACATTACCAAAACTTGATTGTGTGTATGTTTTCCTAAGGATGTCAATTCAAAGTCTTCATCCTCTATTGCTAAAAATTGGGGTCAAAAATATTTGGGATTCTAAACATTGTATGACTTTTTGGTGGGAGCCTTTGGACTATGCTTTCAGAACCACTGGTCTATGTCTAGCTTGAGATGGTATTAAAGTAAATTAAAAAGGAGACCAGGCCTGAGTAATCCCTGAGAGCAAACAAAACCAATTAGGCCTGACAAGTGACCTTAACCTTGCTGGATTTGAAAACATAAGCAAAATTTAGCTTGAGTTATTTCTTGTAAATCTCTCTCTCTCTCTCTCTCTATATATATATATATACACCTAAGTTCAGTAAATCAGAGGCAGCCAGCAAACTTCTAAATATATGATTAGATATTTCCAGCAGGATAGACCAAATGAGGCAACTTTATAACTGTAATTAATCAAATATACTTTCTGTATTAATCCATTTTCATACTGTTATGAAGAAATACCTGAGACTGCGTAATTTATAAAGAAACAAAGGTTTAATGGACTTATAGTTCCATATGGCTGAGAAGGCCTCAAAATCATGGCAGAAGTCAAAGAAGGAGCAAAGGCACGTTTTACATGGTGGCAGGCAAGAGAGCATGTGCAAGGGAACTGTTCTTTATAAAACCATCAGATCTCATGAAATTCATTCACTATCACAAGAACAGCACATGAAAAATCCACCCCCAGGACTCAGTCACACCCTGCTGAGTCCCTCACATGACATGTGAAG